TGCGCAACTTTCGAATGCTTTAAAATTTTTACAACACAAAAAGTTAAAAAAAAGTTTATAGCAAATATAAAAAATTTGGTCATATGTTAAGCAAGATCTATCATGAAGTCATTTATTGAAATAAATTGCTTTCAGCGTTTATGACAATACATGTTGGTATATTAGGGTTTATCACTCTACATACAAAAAAAAAATCGGCACAGTTCTCCTTTCGGAATTATAAAACTTATAACATATATTTTTAGACTTCCGCTCAAAATATTTCGGAAAAATATTGAGATTTACGTGAGCTGAGTCGATTTGAAAATATCTTCAAAATCGCATGATGATTCCGTTGGTAAAAATGTTTACCATTTTTATGCAGGCTTTTTAAGTCTGAACTCTTCTATGAATCACAGCCGATTTTTTGAAAAAAAAAACATTTTTAACGCCAATTTTCTTTTTAAAAGAACTCGATTTTTGGAGGTATTTTGACATCGATCTAGCAAGTCTTAGTAGTATTCCAAAATGTTTTGACGGGTATCTTAAGATATAATAAATTGAAGGATTCCGTTGTTGGAAAACCCGCAACTTTCTTTAGTGATGCACCCTAATGTGCTTGCTTATTAAAAATGTCCAACCCTACAGCCGCCGCAGCTGTGCTACTACTTAGACTTAAATACATACATCGCATTTTTCAGCTTGGAAAAAGTGGGCTCAATTCATCAACCCAAGATAACCAAATGATATACCTATATCCAGAGACCGAGAACACGCTCGGGCTTTTGTTTAGTTCTACACGAGAACAAAACGTAATATCAGGAACGTTCTAGCAAAATAACCAAACGGGAACCAAAGTATTGAGAGCAGTTTTAACGGGAACAAAATGAGAACAAAAGGGTTTTGAACGTTTTCAAAAAGAACAAAATGAGAAAAAAACTCTCAACAACGTTATCTAGACGAACAAGTGAGAACAAAACTGTCGGGAACGTTTCTATTTAAGTATAACGAAATGAGAACGAATGTTTCGAAAACGTTTTCAAGGCTAATTAAATAGGAACAAAACTCATGGGGGAACGTTCAGCTAGAGAACAAAAGTTTGGAGAACTTAAAATTAATAATGAGACGGGTATCAGCGTGTTAGGATGAAAAATCATTTTGAGTGTTAATTCTAAGCCAGGCTAAACCTGGATCATTTCAACTTCCAGATCGTTTATCGTCAGGGCGATCTTTCCATTTGTTGAAAATTTATCCATTTTCTGAGCAAGAAAAGTTCACGTCATAAACCTTTCGTTGCCTTAATTTGCATAATTATAGTTCAGAGAAGATTTGTTCCCGTTTCGGTCTCTATCAGAAAGTTCCTGAGACTAGTTAGTTCGACTTTTGTTCCCGTTTTGTTATTGTTCAGAACGTTCCGGGACTTTTGTTCCCATTTTGTTCTCTTTAAGAAGTTCCCGAAAATATTGTTCGAATTTTGTTCTCTTTCGAAACGTTCCACAGGGTTTTGTTCTTATATAATTCCCGTTGATAACACGCACGTAAACTCTTCTCAGTGTATGGGAATAGCGTTGTTCCCGTACCTCAAAACTGGTCACATAGTAGTATGTACATCTTCAAATTTTTGTTTTTTCATTCAACGCAATTCACAATATTTTTTTAATGCGTATCTCGTAGAAAACATTTTATAAATACTAATTAAGGAACATCCCTTTTGATTTCTTCCCCATTACGACAGATTAAATTCTTGAAAACCAAAGAGGGCACCGCCATGGTACAAATGGGCGATTCGGTCGCCGTCGAACGCTGTGTCCAACATTTGAACAACATTCCCGTCGGCAATGGTGGCAAAATCCAAATTGCCTTCTCCAAACAGAATTTCCTGTCCGAAGTTATAAATCCATTTTTATTACCCGATCACACACCCAGTTTTAAGGAGTATACCGGCTCAAAGAACAANGTAGACATGTATGTATATTAGACCGTGCAAAAGTTCGCCCCTTATCTAATCTAACATCCAAATTCATAAAAAAATAAAGAATTTTGTAAATTTATAAAAAGAAATAAAATTATTTCTTTTTTAAATAGATATAGTTCACACAGTCAAACAAAAACACTATACAAATTTTTAAATTTTTCATCAAAATTTTTATGAAAATTTCGGGTGTGCAGTTTAATAGCCGATTTAATTTTAGTATAAAGTCTAATTTTGAAGTGACCCAAAATTCTAGGTGATTTTTGAAAACTTTTCCCGATGGTCTTATGTGGTTTTTTCATACGCGCAACCTCGTAGGAAAAAAGCTACCAGAATTTTGAGCTACTACAAATCTGCACATCATTAAATGGGCTATTAAAATGCTTACCCGAATTTTTGATTAAAAGTTTGCAATTTTGATACTAATTTGATGATTTTTTCTAAATTTGAAAAAAGTTTGAAACTTTTATTTACATAGTTTTTGTTTCAGTGTGAACTATATTAAAAAAAAAAATAATAATTTATTAACTTAAAAAATTCTACCTATAATGGGTGTAAGGTTTGTGTGGTTACTTTAGATTCGAAGGTTCAGTCTAATGTATGTGCATATAGTATTTTAATTCGGTATTATATTTCTCATTTAACGATATGCTTCG